TGAGTTCAATGCCTGGTATTGAAAAAAAAAAAAAGCAGGAATAAACACCACTACCTCACTGATAATTCTATGATTTGGGGCCAAGGAGATGGCTCAATGGAATGAGCACTTCCCTGGCAAGCACAAGGGACTGAGTTCAATCCCCAGGACCAAAAAAAAAAAAAAAAAAAATTATGGGCCAGGGATATAGCTCAGTGGTATACACACGCCTGCCTAGCAAGTACATGGTCTTGAGTTCGATTCCTGTTACCAAAAACAAAAAACAAAACAAAGTAAAAATACTGCTCAGTTCTTGCTTTTGGATGAAATTGTTCTGATAGAAAACATTTATTGCTGATTTGTATATGCATCAATATGTATTATGTGCATGGATACATGCATGCACATGCCTATATATTCATATAGTTTTTCAATGTTTTGTAAACAATTTTTCAGATAGGACTAAAATTGTACTTAGTGATAACATGATTTTTTTTTTTAAATTTTGACCCCTTATTAGTGCCTTCTTCCTTATAATTGAATACTGCAGTGTGCAGCCCTCAACATTTGCTCACAACACAACTGCTGTATTTGGTAAACTGTCCGGGTCACATAGTGCTGTGGGAGGGTGTGTGTGTTTGGCTTCTAAAGTCCTTGTGATGGTTCTGTTTGTTGGCTTCTTGCTTGGGGCTTTCACTGCACATAGTTGGTAACAAATGCATATTTTTTAGTTTGGGTTGAAAAGTCTTGCTGAAACCTTAACATGTGGAGACAAGGCTTTACTTTGTTTCTCCATTATGTCAAAAGTTATAAATAATCACATATGTGGCTGGACTAAACATCTGGACTGAAACTTTAGTTGTTGGTGTCATTAATTTTTTCGATTGGCTTGGATAACATTGAAATGGCGAGATTATTTCTGCATCAGACCAAAAATTGGAAAAAAGAGAGTTTATTAATAGAGCCGGTCATTGCACCCTGCCTGGGTTACAGGTCTTAAATGTCTGGCGGGCATCCAGATGTGATTTCCTGATCCTTACAGATCAGAAGCACATGTCCTGCCGCTTCTTTGTTTTATTTGTGCTTAAATATCTACAACATCTTAACAAAGGTGGAGAAGGAGTGAAGGAGTTACATCTTATTTATTTATTTATTTATTTATTTATTTATTTATTTGTTTATTTGGCGGAATTGGGGATTGAACTCAGATCCTTGCGTTTGCCAGTCAAGCGCTTATCGTACTGAGCCATCTCCCTGCCCCCTACAACATCTTTTTTGAAAAAAATTATTTATTTGGTAAAGAGTCTCACTACGCATCTTAGACTCACAGTGATCCTCCTGTCCCAACCTCCCAGCACTGATTACAGGTGTGCACCACATGCCCAGTTTCGGTGGCTGGCACAGCACGCCTGGGGTTCTCGGGGCTAGCACAGCATGTGGTACTGCGGTTTGAACCTGGGTCCTTGCACTTGCCAGGCAGGCACTTAGACTGCTGAGCTATCTCCCCAGCCCAGTTACAACATCTAAACAAGGGTAGGAAAGGACTGAAGAAGTGACAGCATCTTAACATTGGTAGATTAAAGGCTGAACTAGAGCTTCTTTTGCTAGGATAAAATTGACCCAACTGAGAGCCGCCATCCCCTACAACATCACTTTAGTAGTTACCTGCAGTTAGCTGTCCTTATTGAAGTAAATAATTTATTATTGTTATGTTTTTTTTGTTTAATGAATATAAGAATATTTTAAGAGATTTTATATTGCTTTAAATTATCAAAGTTTTCAAAATATTAACACTTTAAATGATCATGAGTTCTCTTTTCTGTAATGCATTTTTCATATTCATTTGAGTGAAGAAAACAATCTTGTTTTTCAGGTACTGCATAAGCCGACCACAATACAAGACTTCTTGTGGCATCTCTTCATTAATTTCTTGCTGGAATTTCTTATATAGCACAATGGGAGCTGGAAGGTAAGTATGTCAATTCACTAATATCCCTAGACTCCAAGTTTGAAAGGAGTTTAATGTTGCTTTTCTATGACAGAAGACTTTGACAGAATGGAAGACTTCACAAATAAAGGAAAACTTCCACATTTTGTTATAAGCCTGGTGACTTAAAATATAGGCATGCATTCCTTACAATAAAATAAAAAATGAAAAATATTATTAAAATTGTTTGCTAGTCAAATGGATTGATTAATCTTGAGACAACTTTTCATGTGATTGGAATTGTAAAATGAAAGGCAATATTTCTTTTACAGCCTTCCACCTATTACCCAAGAAGAGGCGCTACACATTTTGGGCTTTCAACCGCCATTTGAAGATATTAGATTTGGCCCTTTCACTGGAAATACCACACTCATGAGGTATGAGGCTGCCAGTTAGCTCCTTCAGGAGTGAGCGATCCTTATTTCTAGTTCAGCTGTAGGTGGGTAGATTGTATACTGTGAGTACCAAAGCTGGACCCTGAACTCTCTTAGAGCTATGCTTGAATTTCTCTAGAATGGGAGTAATGACCTTCATTGTTATAAATCCCTTGCCATGAACAAATCTTTCTTGTTATTTCCAGATGGTTTAGACAAATTAATGACCATTTCCATGTGAAAGGATGCTCTTATGTTCTATATAAGCCCCATGGGAAGAATAAAACAGCTGGAGAAACTGGTAGGTGAATGTATAGTACATTTACATGTGTGCATGTGTCAGTTAGAGTCTGTCTCAAAGACTCGCTGTTTTGAATCATGGTGCATCCGTCTGTAAACCCTCAAGAGAGTCTGCTACATTCATACCTCTTTAGCCTCGGTGTAATCTCTAGGTTGCTTTTCAATGTATAGTTTAATATTGTTAGCTCTTCTTATATCTACATGCAGAACTCACAGTGATCCTCCTACCTCTGCCTCCCGAGTGCTGGGATTACAGGCGTACACCACCACGCCCGGCTCATGAATCCCTCTTCAAATACTCTCCCTTGTTTCAAACATAGATATCTCATTGTGCTTGCCACCTCCAAAGTAGTTCTGGACATCCTCTTTGTGTTTTAGGAGGTGTGATAAAAAACCTGTGGGGAGTGCTGCTGCTGGTGTAGCCCAGTGGTGAGGCAGGCTCATAAAAGCACTCGTGTGCCGTCATCCATCTCATTCCCTGGATCCAGCACCATGTGAGTCCTAGCTCCTCCCCAAAGTTAATATGACCATGAAACAGAAACATTTCAAATCAGTTCAGGGCATGGAGACAGCCACGTAATACAGCTAAGCTACTCATCAAAGAAGACTTTGAGAACTGCTTTAGAAAGTATAAGAACAGTGTGATAAGTGAAGCAAGGGGAAGGATTTTAACGGGATCAGTGGCAATATGTTTTTTTCCTGTATTAATTTTTTATTTGAACATTCATTATATTTTTCAACAGTACCTCATATTGTTGAAGAAAAAACTATGCTAATATTTTGAAGTGGAAAGATGACTTTATATTGTTGCAGTAGGGTATCCTACTAGAGATGAGAGGTCTGACTCAACCACATACAACAGACAGCTGGGAATTTATAGTGAAGGAAAAGAGGCAGATGTGAGGGAGATCTGGCTGTGACATCTGTCACCCTATTGATCACCAGGGTTGATTCAGCTGAGCTGACTGGCTGGGCAGGTGTCTCTTTCTTCCCTCAATCCTCCACATGCACCCCTCCCAAAGCTACATGCTTGGTCAAAGAGGACAAGAACCCCCGATAGAAGAGGACCTTTCTCTTGGTCAGGGCTTTAGGAGTAGCAGTGCTCCCCTGCTAGACCCCTACTCCTGCTCAAGGAAAAGAGGAATGAGGCCAGTGGATATAAAATTGATAAGAGGAGACATCACAGGTAGGAATGTTCTTGCCAAAACGGCATAACAGGCTTTCTACATCAGGCAGGTCAATGGCTTAGACAGCAAGGATTGTGTGTGTGTGTGTGTGTGTGTGTGTGTGTGTGTGTGTGTTAGGTTGGCATGTGATAGGGCTTTATTAACTGGCAGGGATGAAAGATTCACTTTAAACTGACTCACCAGAATTCTTGCTAACACAAGACACAGAAGCCCAAGGTTGAGGCCTTATTCAGAACAGGTTTGGTCAAGGACAGTTATCAAAAGAGAGTTTATGGTTTACCAAGGTCAAGTTCAGAACACCGAGTAGGGTAGCTTTCTATTGAGCTATAGTGTTTTGATTGAGTCCCTGTGAAAACCTTTTTTTCTTTCTGTATTTGCACCAACTCTGTTGGACACTGTGAAGATCGAAGGAGACCTGTTTGTAATATACTTAGTACCTTTTGTTAGGTGGAATAAGTGTAAGCCTTTTATTGTTCCTCACTGAATTCTGCATGTTCTCATGAGACCTATCCTTGTGGAAAAGACGGTTTAAAATATATATTGGTATTTTTTTCTATTTTTAGGAAGATTATTGGCATCCCAATGATAAGGCAATGAAAAAGTTTAAAAAGGTACATTTTCCAGATTTCTAATTTTAGCTTCAGCTGTGTCTGGTTTGCTTTTCGTATTCTCCATTAAGTTTGAGGCTTAAAAAAGTTGTTCCAATCATACTTTCTCATTCAAAAATATCTATCTTGCTGGCCATTTAAAAATTGGAACAGACTGGAGGCTGGGATTGGCTTGAGGCTGGGAAGTGGCCAACTCTAGATGTGGCTCATGAACCCAAAGGCCTCAGCATGGCACTCAGGGATTGGTGTTGTGGTGCCTGCCCTGGGCCGTTCCTGGTGGGCCACACTGGGCTGTTCTCTCATGCCCTTCTTCACCAAGTGCAGGTCAATTGTAGCACTTGGGGCCCTGCTTGTGGGCTGCTGCATAGCCGAGCCGAATGCATGGAGTGTGGAATTGCTTACTTGGAAGGATTCTCAATCATCGGGGTCTCAAATGGGTGGGAGTATTCTTCTTCTGCTCACCAGGAAAGATTAATTCCTTCAATCCCTTGGAATCACATTTGTGTGCACATCTTGTAGTGTTTCAGTTCCCTGTTAGTCACGCTTGGCAGACCAAATGATTTCTTCCACAAAAACCTGAGCTACTCCCTCCCTTGAGGCCAAGTCCAGGCTCTTATCATGTGTGTATCCCAATGTCTGGTGCTGAGATGCTCCTTAGGAGTTAATTTAAGGAATCCTAGGTTGAGAAAATGAGGCAGGAGGAATTCGGGAGATCTGGGTGAGGAAACTTCTAAAAGAGAATTTTTGTTTTTCTCCATCCAAAAAGCCAGCATTTTTCCCCTGGAAGTGCTGTTCATCATGAAGTGGAAAAGGACCTCTTTCTTCAGCTGGTCTTTCTTCTGGCTCCTTCCTGCTGTCTCCCCACACTCCCAAACACACAGTCACCACACTTGGTTGCTAACCCCACCTTCACTTTTCATCAGAACATGTGGCATCTTCTTGTAGTCTCTGGGAACCTTGTAGTTGTTGGCTTCTCAGGTTGCTAGATGTATGTTTTTCCAAAGGCTCGGACTTACCTTGAGCAGTGCCTTGACTGTTGCCTTCTGCCTCACTGGTGTTCAGTAAAAGGCGAAAGACATGGCAGAATCACTTCTTACTGCACATGGGACTGCTCCAAGGAGTATGGAAAGATGTGTGTCTAGGAGGACAGAAGCTGTGCAGTGGTTGCCACATACAGGGTAGGGATAGCAGAAAGCCCTGGCGTGCAGCCCTTGGGCTTGTGTCCAAGCGTGCACAGTGAGTAGAGCCTTGGGAACACCACAGGAGCCCATATTTCTCACTTGCTTTGTCTTCAGCTTGCTGACCAGAAGAGGATTTCAGCAGAGAAGTTCAGTTCTCTGTTGTATTCATGTTGGGAGCATCAGGACAGATTGGGAGGAGAGATGACAAAAGGTCACTGAAATCAAAAGAAATCAAGGGGAGCTTGAACATCCAGATAAACTAGAATATGAAAGAATATAGGATATCAACGAAACCCTTGGTACAGAGAAAACATCAACTTTACAAATTGACTGAAATTCTTGAAATAAGAAAATAAAGCTGAAGGGCTGGCCAAATAGCTCAGCATACTAAACACCTGCAAGCAGGCGCAGGAGCCAGAGGTTCCATCCCGAAGCCTGCTGTGCCGGCCCCACCCCCGGGGGCGCACTGAGATGGCAATTGAGACTGGGGGCATGGTGGTGTGTGCCTGTAATCCCAGCTCTTGGGAGGCTGTAAACAGGTGGATCACTAGGAGTCCGATCTAGTAGTGAGACCCTGAACACCCTATAGACCCTTCCCTAAAATAAAAACAAGAAAAGAGAAGAGAAGAAAGCTGGGCTTGTTGACATATGCCTGTAGTCCTGGGACTCAGGGAGGCTGAGGCAGAAGGATTGTAGGTTTGATTGAGCTCAGCCTAGGGGACTTCATGACTTATCAAAATCATTTTCAAAAATAAAAGATTAAGAAAGAGGTGGGAATGTAGCTCATTGTAAAGACCCTGGGTTCAATCCCCAGTACCACCAAAAAGTAAGAATATATATATATATATATATTTTATTAATAGAATGCAATAAAATACTAAGTGCTCTGGAACCACTATTGTTGACTTAGGAACCACTATTCTGAAATTTAGAAAGATTTTTGACCAAATGTCCTGTGCAAATTTAAGATTTTATATCCTAATTTTAAAAAAAGATTGTATATCCTAATTGTATTACAGATACTTGTTTATAGACCTTTTGAAGATCTATACTTGGTTTTCTTTTCTATCTCTCTCTTTTTTTTTTTTTTTTTTTTTTTGGTGGAACTGGGGATTGAACTCAGGCCCTTGCGCTTGCCAGGGAAGTGCTTATTCCCCTGAGCCTTCTTTTCTCATAATCTGGAACCTTCTCAGTTCTTCATAACCTACTTCAGTGGTGTAAGGATCTGATGTAAGTGCTATCCAGTTGCCTAGGCTATGTCAGGATTATGTCACCGGGTCCCATGATACTTTACATCTATGTTTGAACTTCCAACATACATTCAATATTTTTTCATATAAGGAATAAGATACATTACGTAGTTTCCATGCTTGGCAAGGGTATGGTGATGGTGTCTCTAATTAATAAATTACTATGAAGTGACATTTTAATTGAGAATACTTGAATGCTTGCAATTACTTTTTTTGTTTTAAATTTTTTTGGCAGAACCAGGGATTGAACTCAGGCCCTTGCGCTTGCCAGGGAAGTGCTTATTCCACTGAGCCATCTCCCCGGCCCCAAATGTTTAGTGCTTGCGATTACTTTTCTATGTGTATTTCCTAAAGGGTTACCCATCTACTCCCTGCACCACAGCTGTGCCTTCTTTTCTCTCAGTGCTCTCCCCCTTTGAGCATTTCCTGGCACTGCAGGGAATGTAGATGCCTCTCAACTTGGACAGCACGACATACTGACCTGTCACTTGGCATCTGATAAATTCCATCTTACATTCTATCATTCTAATGTGTGTGTCCAGCTCTGTGTCCATGGGAGCCATACCACACAGCCCTTCGATTCCACGTGTGTGCCCATCACCTCCCACATGAAAGTGAGCATCTTTTCTGTTCTCTCCTGTGGAAGGAAGGAAGAGCTGCAGAGATGGAATTTCTTCAGTTGACTCTTGGATGTCCGAGACACTCGGCTTCTTTATGGAATAAAAACAAAGTTTAGTCTAGGGATTTTGATAAAATTTAACTGTAAAAGCCAGTTGATATATAGTGTACAGCAAAAGTTGATACTAGAAAGTGACAACATAAACTGTCCATTTGCAGCATTTGAAAAACATTAGCCATCAGTCCCCTTGCCAGGGAAGTCCAGGTTCATTCTTGTATCAGCTAGCTTCAAGAGGACACTTACATTTAGACATATAAATTTTTGCTCTTCTAGTGAGTGTTACAGTTCAGTACTTCTGCTTAGCGGAGAACACCAAGCCACACCTCATCCCTGCTAGTGCACGCGCACTCTCCCCTGCCCACAGCTGCCAGCAGGTCAGTGCCTCAGCATAGAGCAGGCGCGCAGTGCATTGCCACCGTTTCCCTCTCCCACTGGTTTTCTTCATTTCACATCAGCTGCAGTGCCAGGTAAGATGTGTGATGCGCATCCACATCCTGCCCCTAGGAGCTCTTGTGTGCTTGCCTCCTCTGGGCAGTGCAGCCGGCCAATTCTGTTCACCTCTCGCGCCATTGTGCAGATCGTGGCTCTGCATCAGGTTGTGGCTGCCTGGTCACTTGCATTTCTGATGTTTGAGCTGTATTCTGGATGTCCTTGTTCTGAAGATAGCTTCAGTCGGTAGCACATTTGTATGTCCTCTCACAAGCAAAGGCGCCTTCTCAGCTGATTACCTTAATGGATTAAATGCTCTATTTACTGTCTTTTATTTCAGAGGGTGATCTCTTTGTGACTTTGTCCTGAAAATGTGGGGTGCTGTACGGTAGGCTTCTCTCTACTATTGTACCCTGTGTACTAAATTAGGTACTTTCTGTCCCCCGACTGCACCCTTTGTCCCTGGTGCTGCACTCTCCTCCTGACCCTTGCTCTGTCTGGATTGTTAAAATCCCACCACGTCCTTGAGTCCCATCTTGAATGCTACCCCTTCTGGATTCCTCAGACCCGATGTGCACTTTCTCCTTTGAATTCTGTACTCCCTCGTGGCACTGTCGTATTCTGCCTTCTAGTACAGTTACTTGTTACCTCTTCCCTGCCAGAGCTTGTCTTTTGCTTTCCTGTGGTATCCAACATAGTTACTAGGTGCTTATGGATTGAGTTAAACGAAATTTTCCTCTGAATAGTAGAGCGCTGGCTCTTAAACTATCATCTGTGACCCAATATTGGCATCAGCCAGTAATGTGCTAGAAATGTCAGTTCTTGGTTCCCTACCCCAGACCTGGAGGAGGAGTACTGACAGTTTTCATCTTCCTGAAGTTGGTGTCCACGGCCAGCCAAATAGATCAGCGGATTAAAGCTCCTGCAAGCAGGCCAGGGTCGGGGGCTTTGATCTGCCGGCCTGCTGTGCTGGCTCCGCTCCCAGGGGCACTGAGATACAAATGAAACTGGGCCTGGTGGCCGCGCCTCTAATCCCAGCTCTTGGGAGGCTGTAAACAGGCGTATCACTACGAGTCCGATCTAGGAATGCGACCCTGAGCACCCTGTAGACCCTTCCCTAAAAAAAACAAACAAAAAAAAGATGGTATCCAACCTCTTTACCAAGATCTTGGGTTTCCAATCAGCAGGAAAAACAGTGCTTTTCAAACTGCTTAGTTGGATGCGGACCTCCGGACAGCAGGCGTGAGTGTGGCAGGTCAGCAGGTGTGAGGGTGGCAGCTTGGATTCCCCTCTTGATTTATGGCCTCAGCAGCTCTGCTTTGATCTTTTTTTTTTTTTTTTCCTATTTGTGTATTTGGTACCAGGTCTCACGAGCCAAGGACTTGTGGTGATTCTCCTGTTTTCAGCCTCCCCAGCCAGCACTTGGATTGTAGGTGTGCACCACCAGGTCCAGACTCATTCGCCAACCTAGCACGCCCGGGCGGGGCTGGCGTGGCATGTGGGACTGGGGTTTCAACTCTGGTTCCCGTGCTCGCAAAGCAGGCACTTAGGTTGCTGAGCTATTTGGCCGGCTCTTGCTTCAGTCCTTTTAATGGACTAGAAGACTTCCCCATAGGCTTTCTTTTTTAGAAGGAGCTGCATGTCAAGCTTGAAAAGCTCCGATCCAAATTAGAGGTTAGCAAACCTCTGGGGCATGAGGCAGGGGCCAGAGCTGTAAAGAAAATTTTATCAAAATACAGCCATACCTGACCTATCGGCCTAAAATATCTACTCTATGGTC